CAACGGATGAAAAGTACATTCAAAGATGAGCGCCAAACGGAATTTTCTTTGTTTCAGATCACGGGCATGATCACATGGATATTTTGGGAACTGTCATTGGCTAGTAAAGGGAAACCACTGGCTTGCCCGATTGCGGTCTCAAGAGAAGCCCGAAACATCATTTTGATTTCCCTGACCAGTTCTTTGATTTTGGACGATGGATTAACCTTGGATCCATGTTTTGACGATGATATAAATAACGATGTGAACTCACTCTATGTAGAAATAATCGACAAGAATCGAACGTACTACAAATCCACGATTTGTGGCCAGAAGTTTTCGAGGAAACAAAGACTCGAAACCCACTTGAGTTGTGTTTACGGCAAAAGGTAAGAAACAACATAGCAAGCCAATCACAACTTTTAATACAACAACAACAGCAACAAGCCTTTATTTCATATCGAATTTAAAATAGCAACAAAAAAAAAATGCTAATATCTCCGAGAAAATAAATATATAAAATGAAATAGTTATGGAGAATAAGATAAATACATAAAACACAATATATACAATTCAGTAATTGATACACTAGGATAACCTCAGGAGGTATGAGATACCTAGATGATCACAGTGTACCAGTAACCAAATCAACAAAGTTTGACAGCAACAAACGTTCAAACACAGCCATCTCGATTCCTTAGTCTTTCGTTTCCACTGAGCCAGCAGTGGTGCTAAAAGAGTCAAGTGCGTCTAATAACGAAGAAACATTTGTACAAGAGATGGCATAGGTGGCCCAAGCTCTGCTACAGGCTCTTTCATAGTGGATTATTAAAGAGTTTGTACAGTGGTTTAGTTGGACTTGCTTTTGAGCTCCATAAATGTAAAGTTGTGTGAAATAAATCAAAGAAATAAAGTCTTACCTTCATAGAGAGTAGTCTGTGCTCTCTATGCAGGTAAGACTTTATTTCTTTGATTATTTCACACAACTTTACGTTTATGAAGCTTAAAAGCAAGCCCAACTAAACCACTATACAAACTCTTTAATAATCCACTGTGAAAGAGCCTGTGGCAGAGCTTGGGTGACCTGTGTTGAGATTCTCACCTACGACTGGATGTGCACATTCTGAAGTGTTCCTCTGTTTATGATTATGTTTATGTTTTATGATTTTAGCACATCTGTGGAGATGAGACCTTTTGTATCACAAAAAAAACTTTTATGATCATGGAATCCACAAGGCCTTGAAGGTTGTAAAGCAAATCTGTGATATGAGTACATTGGATTAATTGACAATTTAATCGACAGCTGCTTCATGAAAAAATGCATATAAATGTTAAGATTTGCAAAGACTTAGTTTGAAAAATAAATTTCACAATAAACATAGACATGTAATTATGTATATCTCTTGGTATATTTTGTAAGGCATTCCTTTTATTGAACCAAAGTTTTACGCCTCGAAAATTACTTCTTGTCCTAAAACCTTCAGGTTCCCGGTATTAAGAATTTCTTGGAATTATTTGGACGCAGAAATTCCCAAGAAGTCCACCCTTCTTAACTTATAAGTAGTTTGTATAGCTGAGAATTCCTTGTAATTCCTGGGAATTTCAAGTCCTCACAAAACTGGAACCTTCCTTTCCCAGAAATTCCCAGTCATTCCAAGCTTTTCAAATCCGAGCTTATTTGCATTGTTGGGAATTTCTGAGAATTCCCAGGAATTCCCAGAAAACTGGGAATTCAGTTCGCAAGGGCTGTTACATTTTTCAGTATGTGTTGGTACATTGGTTAATTTTCATCTGCAGCTCAAATTGAGTTATTTATTAAATACTATGATCAGATTTGCCTCTAAATTTTGCCTATCAACATGTGGCTTTGTAGCTGACAGTTGGTAGTAGACTGCCCAACAAGTATCATTGAGGCAGAAGTTGAAATCTTTTCAAAGCATGAATGTTTCTGGTTTATTTTCTGCAATTGCTTTAAAATAAACTGCACTTTACTTATGAGGATCATTCCTTGGGTTCAATTTCATCTGCATGTCAAATGAAATTTATTTCATTAAAATTATGGCTTCCGTAATAACTGAACAACTTGTTAATGTCACCGTTTGCTGAAAAGGATGTGAAAAATTGAATTGCTTTCACTCAAGCATCATTTTTCTTTCTGTTTTGTTTGTTCATTTGTTTTCTTTTGTTTTTTTTGTTTTTTTTTTTATTAGTAGATGACACAATTTATCAGTTAGTGAATAATAGATGATTTGGCGGCGTTTGTCTGTGATTTCTTTGAAGATCAACCTTTGGAACCATTTAAAAAGGGTTTAGGTAAGTTTAACATCTCAGACAAGATCATTTATTTAATTAATTTCCTTTGAAAATTGTGGAAATTCTTAACATGGTCATGAAG